GTCAGGCTGGGGGCTGTTATGGAGCCTTTGCCTGAGGGTCAGCCTGGGGGCTGAGGCGATGTCTGTGGGGCAGGGGATCAACGTAGGGCTTCCTTATGGGGGTCTGGGTGTCAGGCTGGGGTCTGTTTGTGGGGGGCTGAGAGGTTGTCTGTGGGGCTGTGAGGTGGTCTGGCAGTTACTGATGGGGACTTTGTGGAACCGAGGCTGGGGGATGATGCTTTTTCAGCAGTTTGGGGGCGTTTGATGCTCTGGGTGTGAAGCTGGGGGCTGCTTCAAGGGCCAGAAGGGGGCTGGGGGTGTCTGGGGCTGGTACTGAGCCATGGGGCTCCTGCACAGAGATTTGGGGAGAAGGGTGAGGCAGGCTGGATTTAGGTTTCGGGGTCAATGATGGGCCTTTGAAGGACTGAGAAATCATTTGGGAACAGTGCAGTAGCCTATGGGATGCGTATGGTGCTATGGAGAGGTTGAATGGGCTGATGGGGGGGGAGGGGGCTGAGAGTGAGCCTGGAGGTTGCTTGTGGGCCCATTAGGAGGGGCGAAGGGGCCTTTTGGTGAATCTGAAGGGCTGCTCATGGGGCTCCCAGGGTCTGGGAGCTGGCTGGGAGGAGCTGGCAGATGCACTGAGCCCAGCCCTCTGCCCACAGCTGCCGGTGACTTTCAGGGATGTCTTTGTGGAGTTCAGCAGGGACGAGTGGGCCCTCCTGGATGATGAGCAGAAGGAGCTGCATCGGAGCGTGATGCAGAGCAACTGTGAAATGCTGGTGTCCCTGTGTATGCATCCGTGCTGGTTTGGCATTTCCCATCGCTATCCGGGCTGCTCTCCCTGGGTTGCTTTTCTTTACCTCTCATTGGGATCTGTAGCCCCAAACAATCAGCTCCAACTCTTGTCCCCTCTGGGAGCAAATGGAGGCTGTGGGGCTCAGGAGGGGGTAGAAAGTGCTCAGTGTCTCCTTGTGGAAAGCTGGGATGCCGTCCTCTCTGAGCTGCCATACAAATTCTCACTGCCACGATCTCTGTCAGGTTTCCTGTGTGTACCCCACGATGTCATATGGAACATCTCTCTCTGGCCAGTGTAGGTTCTGTCCCCTCCCAGCTCCTCGTGCCACTCAGCCCACTTGCTGGCAGGATAGCATGAGAAGTTGAGAAACCCAAATGTCTGCCCAGCACTGCTCAGCTGCAACTGAAACATCATCGTGTTACCGACGCTGGTTTTCTCCTAAGGCCAAAGCATGGCATCATAGCAGACACAAGGACAAAATCAGCTCTGTCCAACCTGAAACCCTCACGCTTGTCATTAATTCTACCCAGGGCTGAGGTGAAGGGAGCAGTGGGCTTGGATTTCCCTGCAGCTGGTGTCCCCTTAGCATCTCATGAGCTCACCTCCAAGTACAGCCCAGGTGAAAAATGAGGCACCAGCCAAATCCTGCAGTGGGCCAGATTGTTTTCCTGTCTTCAGGGCACTTTACACCTGTTGTGTGGGGGAATTCCGGGAGAACAGGTTTACCTAGTAATCCTAGGTGGAGCAGAGATGAATTATCAGATGAGCCTGAGGGTGCTTTTCAGATCCTCCATAGAGCTCCCTGTCTTTGCCTGTAACTCCTCGCGTGCAGCTTGTTTGGAGATGAGGTTTTGATGGATGGGGTGTGGGCTGTATGATGACAGCACGTGCAGAAGACAGTGGATGCACCTGCAAAGATGCTTCACGTCTCTGATGTTTGTCTTGTCCTTGAGCAGACTGTGACCTAGCCAAGCCTGAAGTCTTATTGCAGATGGAAAGAGGAGAGCCATGTGAACCGGCAGAGCCAGGCCTGGAGGGCACGGCGGTGTCCCTGAAGCCAGCTGCAGGTGAGTGATGCTGAGTCTCACCCATGCACGGATCCTGGCTCCTGCCTGCTTACCAGCACGCCAGCGGTCCTTGCCCTCAGCCACAGGGACAGGGGCAGCTCCTGGGGCCGTGCACAGGGATTGTGTTGGGAACATCAGTAGCCTGGAAGTCTCCCCCTGGCACGGAGCCCAGTGCCTTGAGACCCCGAGAGGGGACCCTCAGGCTCTGTCCTGGCTCCTATGGACCCCAGTAGGGGCTGGTGATGATGAGCACTCTTCTGTCCCCAGAAACAGACGGTCCTGGCTGTGCGAGCGGTGAAGCCCTGCTGCAGGTGGACACAGAGCAGTCTTCTACAGGGAGATGCAGGAACCTGGAGGACAGCAGGAGCCCTTCGGATGCATCTGACAGTAGTGCACACGAGTGTCTGGCGAGTCCACCGAAGCGAGGGACCCTGAGCCCTGGCTGTGCCTCACCTGAGGTCGTAATCCCCACCTCTGCCCTTGTAGCACACGTTCCTCAGGAAGCCATAGGAGCTCCAGCAGATCTCAGCCACCTGGCTACCTCCCCTCCCTGCCCCATCCCCACGTGCTGCCAGGAAGTGCTGACCCTGAGCCTGCCTCCATCTCTTCCTCCTGCAGCAGGTAAAGTGCAGAGCCCTTCCTCCCTCCTGCTGGGCTGGGGGCTCAGGGAGCACAGTGTGCAGCATTAGCTCTGCACGAACCTTTGCTGAGGCTTTTGGGACAGATTTCTACATGATTCACATAAGGGCCAAGAAGGGGTTAGCGCAGTAAATCCAGTTACCAGCTTTGAAACTATATAAAAATGGGATATGGCTTGGTGTGAACCAAGTCAGTCAGTTGGTTTGCGCTGAAGGATGAGCCCTTGATGTCTCTTCTGGATTCTTCCCATCCTCAGTGATGTTCGTCATCCCTTGGGGTGTCTGAGGTGACTGGCTGTAGTGGTGTCCTGCTGTGCTCTGGGTGGGTCTGTGGTCTGGGAAGGCACTGGGCTGGAAGAAGAGAGCGGTGCTGGCATTGGTAGCAGCTCCTGGGCGAGGAGAGAGGGAGACATGGGGGTCTTTGTGCCCCCTGGGTCTTTATGCCCCCTGGGTCTTTGTGCCCCCTTGGTCTTTATGCCTTGTTCTCAGAACTGAGCGGAAGAGTGATGCTGGGGTTCTGCCAAATTTCCAGCAGGTGCTGAGGTGGGGATCCCAGGAGAGGTCCTGCAGGAGCGGATCGGTGCTGAGGAGGGTCTGCAAAAGGAGGACTTGAAAGGTGCAGGGAACAGTGGCCAGTGTGTGGCAGCAGATGCTCCTGAAGAGCCGAGTAAGGAGGAGATGCCAGACCTTTGCCAAACAGCAGCGCACGTGGAGCCCAGCAGCTCGGCTGATCTGCTGGCAAAGCCAGAGGAGAGCGTGGGCAGAACCGCTGCCTGCCAGCGAAACTCCTCCCGAGAGAAGTTCTACAGGTGCGTGGTGTGCGGGAAGAACTTCCTGCTCAAGATCAACCTCATCATCCACCAGAAGAGCCACAGCAACTGGGTGCCGTACGTCTGCATCGAATGCAACCAGACCTTCATGTCCAAAAAGAAAATCCGGCGTCACCTGCGGATCCGGGCGGCCACCGGGTTCTGCCCATCCTCCGACACCGAGGGGGGCTCCAGCCTGGCGCCCTGCAGGGCCGCCCAGCCCCACACCCAGGGCAGCAGCACCAGGGAGCAGTGGGAGAAGTCCAACCCCAGCCGGTTCCCACTGTCTCCTCACAAAATTACGTATACGTGTACTGAATGCATGGAGAACTTCTCCAGCCAGAACTTTCTGGCGCTGCACCAGAGGACACACGCTGACCGGCATCACTTCACCCTGTGTCTCTGCTGCAATAGGAGCTTTGTCTGGGCCTCTGAATTCGTCCACCACAGCCAGAGCGACGCGGGCAGGAAGCGCTACTGGTGCAACGAGTGCCAGAAAGCCTACAAGCAGCTCCACTGCTCCTGAGGACACCAGAAGACCGACATGAGAAGGGAGAGCCTGCATGAGTGTAGCAGCAAACTGCCTCCGTACTCTGAGCCTGTGTAGGGGAGGGGGAGAGGAGGGCGAGGGGGCACTTCTGAAGATGGGGCTGCTGCTGGCCCTTCTCTCTTCATCCTCGACCGTGGGCTCTGGGCATTGTGGCTGGATCATCCCACCCTGCCCAGCGCCCATGGCTGCGTGCTCCTCTTCCTGAAGGTGGGAGGAGCGGCTGTGAGGAGCTGCTTTGGGGCTCTGGCTGTGGGAATTGGGTTCCTCCCCACAGCTGCATGTAGCTCTGCTGTGCTGCTGCTGGGAAACCTCCAGCTTTGTCGCCTTTGTACGGGCACCCTCCAGCACATCCGTGTCCCACATCCGTGTCCCGCTGCAGCACCCCATGTCTGTGCCCTTCATGGAGCTCCTGCGGGTCCTTGCTGCTGCCCTGAGGTCTACCCCTGCCTGGCTGCCAAGCCGGGGGCATTTCAGAGTTGTGACGGGAAGAATTCGAGGGTAAAATGGTGGAACTGGAGGGAGTGCTGCGTGTGGGGTGGGCACTGCTGGTGGGCAGCGAGGGAACGAGAGTGGGTTGTGTTGGAAAATAACGCGTGTTGGAAAATGACGTGAGGAGGGGTTCCCTGTGCCTGTATGATGGGGGCCGTGCTGTGGGGCAGGCTGGTTAATGGGTTAATTAAACCAGTCCTGGGAACGGAGCGGTTCTGTGAACGTTGGTGGGGCTTTTGGGGACTGAGAGGTGGGGGGGGGGGGGGGGGGGGGTCCGTGATTGAGGAAGCGGCTGGAAGTGGGGGAGCTGGGAATGGCGGGGGGAGGTCGGGAGCTGGGGTTGTACGGGGAGAAGCGGGAACTCCGCGCTTCTGTGAACGATTCGGGGTCTTTGGGGACTGGGAGGAGCGAGCGGGGTCGTGGGAGGCGTACGGCTGAGTGACGTCTGGATCCGGGGCAGTGCGGAGGGCCGGGCGGCGCTGAGGGAGCGGAGGGGCGGCGGCGCCTCGGCGGGCCGCGAGAGGGCGCCATCGCGCAGCGGCGGCGGCGGTGGCGGTGTGGGGTGGCCATGGCCCGGTGGGGCCCCGCTCAGGTACGGGCGCGGCGGGCGGCGGGCCTCCCTTCCACCGCGGTGCCTGACGCCGCGGGGAGCCGGGAGCGGGACCCGCCGCGGCGGGGAGGACGGGCCCGGGTCGGGCCCCGCCACCGCGGGGAGGGCGCGGGAGGGCCCCGCCGCGTCCCTGACCTCCTCCTCTCCCCGCCCGCAGGAGCCCGAGTGGGGGCCCGACGCCTGGCAGCCGCTCCCCCCGCAGCCCCCCGGCCCCGTCGCCGTCCCCACCGAAGGGGCGAAGCGGCCGCCGGCGGTGCACGAGATCTCGCTGTGGACGGTGGTGGCGGCGGTGCAGGCGGTGGAGCGGAAGGTGGAGGCGCAGGCCGTGCGGCTGCTGAGCCTGGAGGGCCGCGCGGAGACGGCCGAGAAGAAAATGTCGGAGCTGGAGAAGGCCGTGCTGGAGGTCGGCGGGCAGCTGGAGCGCCGCTGGGCCGCGCTGAGCGCCCTGCTGAGGGACAGCGCGAGGCGGCTGGAGCACGTCGAGAGGCAGCTGCGGAACAGAGCTGGCTGGGTGCCGCGGAACGGGCTGGGAACCGGCGGGGATGAGCCTCAGGTGACGGGGGGAGGCGACGGGGTGAGGGGTGGGTCCTAGGGCGCGGGGGATGAGCTCCAGGGAACGGGGTTGAGCCCGAAGTGATGGGAGATGTGCCTTAGGGCACGGGGGTGAGCCTCAGGTCATGGGGGTGCGTCTGTGGTGTGAGGGACAAGCGCCAAGGAACGGGGGATGAGCCCCGGGGCACAGGGAGTGAGCCTCAGGTAGTAGGGATGAATCCCAGGGCACAGCGGATGAGCCCAGGGTAACGTGGGACGAGCGCCAGGGAACAGGCAGTGAGCCCAAGGTAAGGGAGATAAGCTCTTGGTAACGGGGATGAGCCCTGGGGCACAGGGCACGAGTCCTAGGGAATGGAGAACAAGCTCGGAGTAACAGGGGCCAAGGGCCAAGTGTGAGGTAGCAAAGGTGAGCCCTGGGGAATGGGGTCCAGCCTCAGGAAATCTGGGACGAACTTCATCCAACGAATGTGCATAAGGCAGTGAGGATGCGCTCAAGGTAACGGCGCGGATGGAATGCTCTTGTGGGTGTTGTGCAGGGTGGGGCAGCAGGGATGTGGCTCCTTCCAAGCTTTGCCTTGAGCCCTTCCAGCTCCTCCCCATCTCCAGTGGAAAAAAAGGGAACAAATTACAGATGTAGCCCTGCTGAGCCCTGCTAGTTGCCTTGCAGGGTAGGATGCCTTCCCATACATGTCGTGCTCTGATGTGATGGGGACTGCCCCAGGTTGATGGCGTGGATCTGGAGAAGGAGCTGCAAACCTCCTGGCTGTTAGGGGAGAGGCCTCAGGCCAGGGCATGGGGCCTTTCCCCAAGAGCTCTGTGCTGTCACACAGACATAGGGGGGCTGTGTGAGGAGAGACGAGGCAAGACAGTGCTCAGGAGGTGCCTCCTGCCATTCCAGGTCCCTGCGTCAGGTGAGGACGATGCTGCCTGTTTGGCAGAGCAGGAGTGGGGCGGTGTGGACAGCCGGCAGCAGGAGCTGTACAGGATGGAAGTGAAGGGGAGCTATGAGGCTGTGGTCTCTCTCGGTGAGATTCATTCCCTGCGCTTGTGTCAGACTGTCATATCCCATGCTGAACTTTGCTTTGCATAGGTTACTGTGTTATCTGGATATTTGGAGAACAAGCAGTGAATGGCGAGGCCTTGGCACCGTTAGGGTTTGGTCACGGGTGACAGCTGTGCGTCACATCCTCAGCCTTTGGTGGTTCTCAGCACTGGGGGAACGTCGTGCCTCGCTGGCACGGCACTCTGCAATCCCGCCTTCCAGTACAGGTGTACTGCACATATGCACCACCCTGGAGGAATTTGCTGGGAGCGGTCTTAAATTTTAGCACTGGTTATTTTGGGCTGTAATTTTAAAATGGTGATAAAGTCCAAAGTTCAGTTCTTGCTGAGGTAACTAAAATCAGTCACCTGGCATGGCTGACATCAGCCTCCTTGCTCTACCTGTCCTGCAGAAGCTGCGCCCAGGCCCCAGCTGTGCAGGAGCAGCTCTTCCCTGAGAGGTGCTGGTGTTGAATCATAGAATCATGGAATCACAAGGTTGGAAACGACCTATAAGATCATCCAGTCCAACCATCTCCTCATCACCATTGCCACCACCAGCACTAAACCATATCATGCAGCACGTCATCCAGGCGCCTCTTGAACACTGCCAGGGACGGCGACTCCACCACCTCCCTGTGCAGCCATTGCAGTGCCTGACCACTCTCTGAGAGAAAAAGTTCTTCCTCATGTCCAACCTGAACCTCCTCTGATACAACTTGCGGCCATTGCATGTGCTGCTCGTTGCCTGGGAGAAGAGGCCAAATCCCTCTTCACCACAGCCTCCCTTCAGGAAGTTGTACAGTGCAATGAGGTCTGCCCTGAGCTCCTCTTCTCCACACTGAACAATCCCAGCTCCCTCAGCCACTCCTCATATTTGTGCTCCAGACCCCTCACCATTTCGTTGCCCTTCTCTGCACACGTTCCAGGGCCTCAATGTCTTTCCTGTAGTGAGGAGCCCAAAACTGAACACAGCACTTGAGGTGCGGCCTCACCAGTGCTGAGTAGAGGGGGATGATCACCTCCCTGCTTCTGCTGGCCACACTGTTTCTAATGCAGGCCAGGATGCTGTTGGCCCTCTTGGCCACCTGAGCACACTGTTGGCTCATGTTGGTGCCCAGGATCAGCTCTTTGCACACCTGCTTCTTCCCCCAGGGCCCGGGGACGCCAGTTCCAAATCTGCTCTGCTGTTGACAACTGAGGATGGGGAGGATTCAGCTTCCAGGACCCACGGGCTGCTGGAGGAGGGAGCTGTGTTGGGGCACGGTGGTGGCGGTGAGTCACAGTGGTGGCATTGATGGCACTGCAGTGAATGCCAGGGGTGGTGGGGAAGGGTTGTGTGCAGGTTGAGTGAATGGAAATTGAAAATGGAGAAGGAAAATCAGTGCCGAAGGGGGAAGGAAATCTGGAAGAGACCACACCAAAACTCTAAGCCCAGAGCAGCACACTTGGCAAGAGAGGAAAAAGCGTGGGCAAGGCTTAGTGTGAGAGTGGCTCTGTGGCTTCTCAGTCCTGCTCCTGGAAGGTTTTGCTTTGGTCACTTCCTCTAGATTTACCCAACTAATCTCTGCCGTTCCTAACAGAGTTCCCTGCAGGACTGAGGACTCTGCAGCTGCACTGTTGCTTTCATGTTTTCCTGTTTTGGGTTCTTTATGAATATTACATCATTGCTCCACTGAATGTCCCCAGGCAGCCCCCAGCAGACACAGCGCCTTCCTGCCTTGTGCCCTTCTCCCCCTTTGCTCATGGTAGATCCCTTTTGCTCCATCTGTAGCAGCACATTTGCTGGTTGTCTGCTCATGTCTCACCCGCGTGCTGCAGGGGAAGGCCAGCTTCTGCTCCGCTGCTGGGGATACAGGCCTGGGAGAGCTTTATTTTGCTGGGAATGAATTACTGTTTCTCAGCAGGTGAGAAGATCGTGATCAAGACAGAAGAGCAGCAGCCGCAGGAGGAAGGACTGGAAATGCTGGCTCTGCCACAGGTGTCCTCTGTGAGGCTGGAAGAGGAGGTTCCCCTGGGCCAGGAGCCGCCGGTGCCTTGGGAGAGCCACGCCGTCATGGACGAGCAGAAGGCGGCAGCAGAGGGCTTAGGGGAGCTCTGCAAACACGGGGCTGCTCAGCCTGACTTCAAGCCTGCGGTCATCCCAGTGGAAGCTCGCCCAGCCCCGGCCTTGCATTTCCCATCAGAACAGGGGCACGGCGCGGAGACCGAGCAGCCATTCGCTCTGCCCCAGGGGATGCTGCTGGGGGAGGATGCCGCCACAGAGGCCGCCTCGACGCAGGCTGGCACAGAGGAGCACGGCCCGCCTGGCGCGGGGGATGAACCCCGTGTGCCGCCGCAGGGCTGGAAGAACGTCCGGCTGAAACGCAGCCTCCTGGCGCGGCAGCAGAGCCACGCGAGGAAGAGCAACGGCTCCTTCATCTGCACGGCCTGCGGGAAGAGCCTGGCCCACCACGCCGCTCTGCTGCGGCACCAGCGCCTGCACACGGGAGAGCGGCCCTTCCAGTGCCCCGCCTGCGGGAAGAGCTTCAACGAGAAATCCAACCTCAACAAACACTACCGCATCCACACCGGGGAGCGGCCCTACTGCTGCCCCGCCTGCGGCAAGGGCTTCATCCAGAAGCACCACCTGCAGAAACACCAACGCATCCACGGGGTGCAGCTGCGGGGCGGCTGGGCGGGACGGCCGCGTGCCAGCGCAGCCGGGGAGCGGCTCTACCGCTGCATCGAGTGCACGGAGAGCTTCCCCATGCAGACGTTGCTGGAGGAGCACCAGCGCCGGCACACCCAGCAGCGGCCCTTCCAGTGCAGCGGCTGCAGCAAGAGCTTCCGCCACCGGCAGTCCTTGAACCACCACCAGAAGGTCCACGCCGTGGCCAACGCTCCCGCTGCCAGCTTGCCAAACCGCGGGCCGGGGACGGACCGCTGCAAGCCGCTGACCCAGGATAATCCGTAGCACGAGGGCTGCAGATGGGATGGAAGGGGTGGCGTTTCTGCAGGCGGAGAGGTGCGGCAGCCTGCGGTGGAGGGCAGCCGGCATCACAGCCCCACAGGGATGAGGATGGAGCCGGCTGATCCACTGCGTGAGCACGAGGAGACCGAGTGGCCCTGGACCCACCGGAGCCGGTCTGGTGGTAGGGCTGAGCTGGGCTGTGCTGCTACCCAGTGGAAAAAGGCTGAGCCAAAGAGCAGCTCGGTGTGTTGGGCACTGTGGGACGGGGAGCGGAGCGCTTGAAATCAGGTTTACTTCAGTTCGTAACAGCGTTGAGGTTGGCTGGGGAGTGCGGGTGCCCAGGGAGAGGCTGTTGTTGCTGGGACAACCGGAGTCACCGCACAAACGGGGAGAGGTTTGGATAAAGGATTGGACTGACGCCATCTCCTGTTGAGCTTGGGTGTCGATGGGGCCGGAGCCACAGCGGGAGCACCGCGGTACTGTCCTTGCATGCCTGTCACCCCACGTCCCCGCCGAAACCCTGTGCTGTCTGGCTCACTACATGGGTGCTGCTGCCCGCCTGGGGTCTCGCCCAGCTCTGAGCCTGGCGATCCTACAGAGATGCAGAGCTCCTGTTCACAGCCCCATTCAGCTGCAAACTGCGGCTCTTGGGCAGCATTAGCACAACAAAGCCCTTATCTGCCCTCTGCTCTGCCCCATGGCCTGCCAAGGCTCCATCGCCCATGGGCAGCCCCTCCTCCTCCTCTCCTCAGCCCAGCTTTTGTGATTTCGGTCCTGTCACACCGTGTCCCAGGTGCCCTTGCCGTCATGCATCCCAACACAAGCAGACGCTGCACTTGCAGCCCAGAAGCCAACCGTGCTCTGGGTACAGCAGGTCGGAGTACCTTTGCTATGGGGGCAGGCTGAGAGCTGCCTGGACGCAGCCCTGCGAGGCCAGCACTGGTTGGGCAGGACTGGGTGGCCCCACTGTGAAGGATGTGGGCACAGCACCAAGGACTGATGGCCACGGCCACCACGGTGCCACCCAGCAGAGGGGATGCTGAGACTGGACACCCATCCTGGCCAGGTGATGTGTGGTAACAGCGGCCGCGTGGGACACGGCATGAAGGAGGGGACAATGGCGTCCTAGGAACGTCGTAGGATAAGGGGGATGACAATGGCAGCCTGGTGACACCCTGTGGACGGTGGCAGAACTGAGGCCGGGCCTGAGCACAGTGGTGCTGATGCGTTGGGCGTAGCCTCATCTGCGCCCCCCCCCTTCTCAGCAATGGCCGAGAAAATGCCCCCCAGCGCCCCCTGCCCGTTCTGTGCACTGCGTGCTGGGAGGCCGTGCCCTCATGACGCAGCGTGGCCACTGCCATGGGCCAGTGATGGCCAAAGATGCCCTGTGAATGTCCCATGTTGGACGGGACCCACAAGGACCACTGAGTCCGATCCCTGGCCACATACAGGGCCACCCAAATGCTCTGTTTGAGAGCAGTGTCCCAATGCTCTGCAAGCTCCAGCAGCTCAGGGCTGTGCCCACCGCTCTCTGGGGCAGTGCCTCTCTCTACCCCCCGCCCTCCCCTGACGCAGCTCCATGCCATACCCTCACACCCTCAGGCCCACAATGGCAATGGGGACCCACATGAGGGACTTCCTGGGTGAGATGGAAGCAGTGTGGCTCTGGGAGCCATAGAGGTGTGCGCAGGTGCAGCCATACACACAGATCAGTGTGCGTGCCAGATGCTCAGAGGGCAGATCTCCCTTAAGCTGCACAGTGCAGCCCCTGCTCCCTTCTATGTGAGCAGCACTAACACATACACCTGCAGAAAGATAACCAAGAACAGGCACGCACATACAGACAAAACATTTTACTGATTCCACAGCCTGAGAAAGGGATGAGAGATTTCCTACAAAAGACTGGTCCCACTCACAAAGCAAATGCTCCAGGCCCATCTCCTCCCCGCAGCCCCCAGACTCAGAGGTGTGTGATGACACCGTTGCAGCAGCTGACTTGCCCTGCAGTGCAGGGATTTACTGTGACAGTTACCTGGGCAGGGACAACCAATATCAGCCCTCGCTGCAGCAGAGCTTGCTGCCAGACCATCACCTCAGAGCCTGCAAGGCAGCAGCCACCCCTGTCTCATGGAGCTTCGCAGTGCCATGGTGCTGGGGACAAGTGCAGGGCAGCGTGAGAATGGCCTGGAGCATTTAAAGCAGGGCACAGCAGTGCAGCCCAGCCCTGTCCTGTGCACCATGGATGCGTGCGACAGGAAGTGGCCCAGGCAGTGTCACCTTGTGGCCCTTCAGACCTTAATAGGTGGCCAGGAATGAAAAATCTAAAGTAATTGGTTCCCCACACACCCTGCCCAGAGAGGGGCACACGCTTCATAATTTCAAGTAATCACATCAATTAAATGGAGCAAAAGAACTCAAGTGTGCTAGCAGCTTGGCCTGCATGGCGATGCCAGCAGGGCTTCTCTCTACACGTGGTTTGTGTTCCCCAGCAGAGCATCTGGTGGCTCACATGGTTCCTGGGGCCACCAGCGCCCCTCTGGCCTGGCTTTGTCACCTACCAGGCTGCCTCTCCATGGGACAGCTGAGGTAGCTAGCGTAACTATTCTTCCACGTGGTTAGTTATAGAGGGGTTGTGCATGGCTTCTGGGCACAGCAGGGACGAGCAGAGGGAACACTCCAGTGCAGAGAAGCTGACATAGCAAGACCCACCTGGACACCTTCCTGTGCAACCTACCATAGGGAACCTGTATGAGCAGGAGGGTTGGACTGCAGGATCTCCAGAGGCCCCTCCTGACCCCTATGCTTCTGTGATTCTGTGTCAGCCAACACATCCAAGGCAAGGGGGTCCCTGTGCAGGCTGTGCTGCAGCACAGGAGGAATCCTACCTGCAGAGTTTTCTTAAAAGCATTCTTAGCTTTTAAGAGGCTATTAGCCATCTTGAAGGCTGGCCTTCTTCAAGGGAAGATTGCTGCTGGGACACACGACCCACAGCATCCCTGCAGAGTCGCGGGTTGTCCTGTTCTGCCTGTCTTCCAGCTCAATGGACTGGTGTTCCCCAGCAGATCTCACGTTCAGTGGATTTAATCAGCAGGATGGGTTATCAGACAAGCACGGCCAGGACATGATGGGATCTCAGAAGTGCCCCGTTCTCCACCTGGCAATCGTGGCCAAGAAACAGTCACCAAAATGAAGAGCTCATTGGGAATTCACTCTAATTTTCCAGTTTGAGACCCTTCTGTCCTTCCACTTCACTGTTAAATTCTGTTTCCAAAACAAAGTGGTCGGCTCCAGCATCAAATAACAGCTGAGCTCAACAGCTGCTTACAACTTCCTTTGCTGGGCTGCAGGAGACATACCTGCTCATGTGGGGAGGTCAGTTTGGGACAGTTCCATGCATCAGCCAGCAGACACAAAACTGAGGGACAGTAAAGCATTTTGTATCACCAGAGGCTTCCGTAATTTGTTCTACATAATGGCATCCAGGCTTTGATTCATTCTGCAACCACGGGAATTCCATCTGATAGATGGCACACCATCCCAGTGTGTGTAAAAATCCGTCCTGATGCTCAGTTTCTCCCTGGAGAAACAAGCAATTTGGATCTCTCCTGTTGTCGTTTGTTGCCTCCCAAACTGCCACCCTATTTCCTAGTTTCACAACAGGCCGGACTGCGCTCCCACCACAGCAGTGGATGTGGCAGTTCTTGAATGGGAACCGGTGCCGCTGGAGGGTGCCTTCCAAGTTGGGATATCACAAGTCTAGGATTATCTGGGAGTATGTGTTCTGCAGCAAGCACCGGGAGTGCCTTCACTGAACAGCTCTGGCTGCACTTCTCAAGTGCCTGGTTCAGCGTGTGAGCAGCGCTCTGGCCGGGCATCTGGGGCTCCTTAGGGCTGCAGCCAGCCGGCCGTTGCTGCGGGCTGCTCTGCTTTGGGCTGCTGGTTCTCCAGGGCTTTCTGGCGTTCGTGTATTTGCTCGTGGCGCACCAGGTGAGTTTGGCGGCTGAAGCATTTCTTGCAGGTGGAGCAGCAGTACGGCCTGTGGGTCTTCAGGTGACGCTGGAGGGAAGAGGGGCACGAGAGACTCTTGTTGCAAAGGTTGCATTTAACCACGTTCCTTGTATGAGCGCTAGGCATTTGCTGTTGTGACAAATAGGGTCTGGATGGCTCCTCCTTGGCCTGGCCCAGCCAGGACCCCCCTGCACGTGTCCCGTAAGTCAGGCTTTGGGCACTGCCGTGAAGAGACTTGCAGAGCTTCTTCCTCGGCCCCATCCTCAATTCCGGGTGGGTGTTCCCCCACACCTTGGCCGCAAAGGCCCTCTCTTGTGTGTGGATGCCCTGGTGAAGGACCAAGCTTTTTTTGTCGGTGAAGCTGATCTCGCATATCGTGCACTCATAGGGCCCCTCCTTGGCGTGGCTCCGCTGGTGGATGATGAGGTTGATCTTCAGGCGGAAGCGCCTTCCGCACTCGGTGCAGGGGTGCGACCACTCGCGCACGTAGCCGCGCCGGCAGTCGCCCATCAGCAGGCTGCTGCTCGCGTACCTGCTCGGCTTCTTCTTGCTCTTGGGTTTGGCTTGCTCTCCTGGGCACTTCTGGACCTCGGGGCCAGGAGAAGGTGCAGATGCCTCTTGTGAGGCCACGGGCCTTTCCTCTTTCACCTTGACGCTTACAGGAAGAGAAGCCGCTTCAGAGGCCTTTTCATTTTCTGACAGAAAGATTTCCTCTGGAAAGAGACAACGGAGCCGTGAGTCACTCACCCTCACAGCAATCTGACGCTTTGGTAAGGTCTCAAAGCACTGAGCACATTTCTTAATTGAGCTGCCAACAAATCTGAGAATGCAGTGTGGAAAGGCGCAGGTGCTGCTGCAGAGTTGCTGCCCACATGCATGAAGCAGACCAGTGGGTGCCAGGGGCAGATCTGCTGCTCCCAGAACTCGGCTGTGCTGCCCTGCGGTGCCACCAGGGCAGGTTGTGCAAAGAGAGCCGCCCCAAACAATACCAACAACGGCCACGAGGTGTAGCACGATAAAAAGTGATGGGAGGGCTGCGTTCTGCAGAACCTCCAGGCTCTTTGCTCCTGTCAAACTTGCATCTGTCAGTAAATGCCAAACATTACAGGCAAATGAGCACATTTCCCCTAATTTCTGACAGAACCATCTCCAACTCATTGCTTCTCTGGAGATGATAGAGCTGAACACTGTGCCCTGCACCAGAGCCCTTCCTCACTGGGTAGCTGTCCCAAAATCTGTCACGGAGTTCACTAGATCAATCTACACCCACGACAGCAGCAAAAGAAACATTCCCCTCAGCCCTCATTCCAAGCCTGTTGGAGCTGCTCCCTGCCTGCTGTGCACTGCATCCTCCACATATGGGGATACTCACCAGAGCCAAACTCTGCTGGGTCATCTTCCACCTCTGAGTCGGGATGATCTTCCCTGCTTGCTTCCTTTTTCTGTGCACTCATGGACAAAACACGCATCACCACCCTGGGAAATTCTGTTTGTAAAGGAGATAAAAGCAATTTTAAACATCCCAGTTTTCTGTCTCCTTGCTTTGGTGTGATGCTACCTGGAGATGTGTGACATGCATGGTGAGGCACTGGCACGGGCTGCCCAGAGGGTGGGGGTCAGCATCCTTGGAGGTGCTCCACAACCACAGAGATGTGGCACTGAGGGACGTGGTCAGAGGGCATGGTGAGGGGGGGAACATGGCTGGATTAGAATTCAGTGATCTTTTCCAACCTTAATGATTCTATGACATCAAAAATGTGCAAAGCATCAGCAGGAATTGGAATGAAGCCACACAGCAGGATCAAAAGCAGAGAGAGATCCGGGAAGAGCCACCAAAGTGCCACAAGCCGTCCCTTATGCACAGCAGCCTACTCCCTCCTCAACTCTCTCCACTGACCCTACAGATGGCATTTCTTCCATGACTTGCCTTCAGAACATTAAACACCTTCCATTTTCCCTAGTAGCACATTAATAGCACACCCCAGGACTTCTGCCTTCCCCTGCTAGTGCTCCTCTAAGCACAGAGGCCAGCCATACCCTCCTTCAGACACTGCTGGGAGATCTGACAGCAGGGACAGGAAGAGCTGGGGAAGCACTTCCTCCTGGCACCCTGGGAACTTACTTGTGCAACCTTTCAAATGGACTTCTTCTTTTCCCACAGTCTTTTTCTTCTGGTCCATCTCTTTCAGTGTTTGTGGGGGTTCCTGACTGTCTTGGATAAACGGCGCTGGGGGCTCCTGGGCATCTTGGACACAGAGCTCTTCATTCTTATCAGTCTGGGATGGGATGTCAGGATTGGACACAGCAGACTCTGCTTAGGGACAGAGAAGCAGATGACAGCATGTTTTGTTAGGAACTGGCTGCAACAACACTCTGCTGAAAGGTCAGAAACTTCAGAACGACTGTTCCTCCTTAACCCCAGAGATGGCAGGCAGGAAGGACAGACACAAATGCTACCCGTGCTCTAACAGGCAAAGTGGTGCTGATTTCATGGTGTTATGGTAGGATCCGCCCATAAGGCACAACTGCAGCTCAAGTACAGAGAAAATCTGAGTAACAGAACGTGACTTGAAATCTGAACGGAGAGGGAAAAACCATGCCCATGAACATCACTTTCTATCTCCTAAGGAGCTTCGTAAACCAACCTGCAGTCATGACGGGGCTCCTATAGTTTCGGAGTAACTTTCCAAGGACAGACCCTGCCCTTTGCCTGTCAGCATTCACTCTGCCTTTCCTGAAGCTTTTGTAGCTCCCAGCTTGTACTTCCAACAAGAAATAGCTCTCAAACACACCTCCACCTCTGGCTCTGACTGCAGCTTTCCAGCATCTTCTACCTTTCTTGCCTGGCCTTCAAAATCTGGCAATTAATTTTTCCAACTCTTTCTTGCTGTACCCCATGGCTCTCCTGACTCCTTTTGCAGCCCCTGGAGCTAGCAAGGCTGCTCCAGCCTCCTCCCTCCACTGCAGGCTCCTACTTCCAATGAGGTCTCCTCTCTCAGCAAAGCAAGCAGTACTGTCTTCAAAAGCATTAAGGCTGATGCGTGCAATCAGGTGGAGGACTGCAGAACTGCACAGGAAAAGGGCTGGAAGAGACCACGAGGTTTGCCCTGCTGCTGCAGGCTCTACTCGAGCCCTTTGTCTCCACAGGATTCATCTGGCCAAGCATAAACATTTCTCTTGGGTAGCTGTCCAAAAATCTGTCACAGAGTTAACTAGACAATACAATCAAAAGAACCTCAGAGCAGGTCATTCCTAACAGACATCAATGGGAGATCTGACAGGGCTGAGACAGGACCTGCCACGTCCCTCTGGCACATGTGAAACTTACCCCTGTCAGCTTCCACACGGACATCTTTTCCCAAAGCCTCCTCCATCTGGTCCATCTCTTCTGGTGCTTGCAGGGGCTCCTGGCGACCTCCGATGCACGTCTGCAGGGTACTGTGGCCATTGATGCACGTTTGTGTGGGCTCCTGACCATCTCTGAGGCGCGTCTTCAGATGCTCCTCACTGTCTCTGCTGCAGCCCTGCATGGGCTCCTCCCTGCCTTGGATGTGTGCCTGCAGAGGTTCCTCACTGCCTGGGCTGTGTGTCTGCGTGAGCTCCTGCCCATCCTGGACGGTCTGTGGGGGTTCTGGAGCGCCTTGGTCCAGCGTCTGCGGGGGCTTCCAACAGTCTTTGACACAGAGCTCTTCACCCCTCTCAATTCGAGACAGGATGTCAGGCTTGGACACGGCATAGTCTGCTCAGAGAAGCAGAGGACAACAGGTTTTGTTAGGAACTGGCTGTTACTGTAGCAAATTGCCCGGCCCCAGAGGCTGACAGGCAGCCTGGACAGACGCAGACCTCCCACCTGCACTGACACAAGGGAGAACAGTGGTTCCGTGGTGGGATTCACACATTGGCACAGCTGTTGCTCAAGTACAGCAAAGATCAAAATAATGGACGGTGACCTAAAACCTCAAAGGAGAGGCTCTGAATTTAACATTTTCCTCCAGTCTCAGCATTAGCAGTGATTTGAAGATGGCTGATCCATCGCTATCGGATTAGTTCAGTTCTGAGGCAGGGACAGAAAGATTCCTGCTCCATAGAGACGGCTGTGTCAGATGGATCATTTTAAGAACAGGTTTGCTGTTTCTACAGAGTACTGCTAGAAAAATGAAGTCTCTACTGAGAAAAGTGAAGTCTCATTGTCAGTAACTGCATGGACCACCACACTACCAGTTGCCCAAGAAACAGTTTCTGATAAGAAACATCTTCTAGCCCAAACCATCCAAGAACATGTCAAATGTCCTTAGAAGGACTGAACATGATTAGGTTGGTTCTTTACCAAGGCATGTGCAAATGTCCCTGTCGCTTTACATCAGTGCTAAAAAGACAGAAAACAAAACGTCGTTCAAGATGCAATTATCAGACTTCACCTAGATAATTCCTGAACTGCGCTGGAAGATCACGATGGTTCCCTGACCATCCTGAATCCTCTCATACAGTCATTAAGAACAGCATCACACATGGATATATTTTTTTTAATAATAGATGCTGTTTGCATTATTATCACTACTATCAACTATTACTAGTGTATATCACTTATAGGTTTTGTTTACTGGTAACAAGCAGGAAGGATGGAAAATGATTGGCTGCCCAGGTTCTGCAAGCCATGGGCAGTCAGCCCCACTGAACAAGAGAGAAACAGCCTGAGTTAAACACAAGAGAAGCTCACTGGGAGAAGCAGAGCCCGTGCCTTACCCAGGGAAATCAGGGTCTCGTAGTTACCCCTCATCACAGCTTTGTACAGATCCTTCTGCCAGCTGTCCAGTCTCTCCCACTCCTGCTCGTTGAAGTACACAGCAATGTCATCAAATGTGACGGGTACCTGGAACCACAAATTAACATTACGTTACGCTTGGTGACTCGGTTGCTGCAATTACAGATAACTGGAAGTAGCACACATGAAGGGAACGCCTGGCTTTGGTCACAGGAGCTGAGGGCAAAGCACGCCTGGCCACGCGGGGGGTGCAAGTCTCGGTTTCACAGGTGCTCATCTGCCCCAGCGCATCGCTGAGAGCAGAGAGCTCCAGCATTTCCACAATTTGTGGCGTCTGTGCTTCCAGGGCCCGCATGCAGAGCCAGCTGTGGGCTGCAGATCCTCAGACAACTCAAGGCAGGAGCGGCACCAGGGACAGAGCTGCAGGACTATAGCACGAAACCGCAGCCCACGCTGTAGGTACGACGGGTCTGCGCCGTGCTCTCTGCCACATCTCTGTGCACTGATGCTGGCAGCAGCGCAGCTCCGGGGCTCAGCACCCCAGCCGCGGGGATGGGGACCGGCCCTTCTTCGCCACCGAGGCGCTTAGGGCTCACGGCACCGGCAGGACCGCGAGCGCAGCCCCGCGCCTTCACCTTGGGCACCTCGCCCCTGGTGCTGGGGGGCAGCCGCAGGATCCAGAAGTTCCTGTTCTTCAGCAGGTTCTCCACGTTGTCCAGGCGCTGCTGGAGGTGCCCGTAGCCCTGTAGCAGGTTGCCCAGTGCCGCCAGGTTGCTGCCCAGCTCTCCCACCAGGTTCTCGAAGGCCAACAGCCGCCGCTCGGCCTTCTCGGTGCGGCTCCAAAGCTCTCGCAGCTGCCGTGCCTGAGCCTCGCCCGGCCCCGCGGCCTGCGCGGCCCGAGCCCTGCGGGTGCGCGTGCTCCACGACGAAGCCTGCGAGGAGAACAGACGGGACGGGAGGCCGGGCCGGAGCCCGGCGCCGCGGGGCGCTCTGGGGGAGCCCCGCGCAGCCCACACCGCGCCCGACCCCCGGAGGCGCCGCCGCCCGGCCGGGCCGCTCCGCTCCAACCGCCGCCGGGCCCAGAGGCTCCACGCCCCTCACCCACAGCCCCAGCACCTCGGGACCCCCGGCGCCACGGCATGCACGCCCCCAGAAGGGACCCCCTCTGTCCCCGACCGCCGTCGGGCTGCAGGGGGCCGCTGCCGGGCCGGCCCCGCCAGGCGGACCCTCGGAACCCCGCGGGGCCCGGCCCCGACCCTCACCTCAGCGAGGCCCGGGCAGGACATGGCCGCCGCCGCCGGCACCGCGCGCCCTGAGGCCGCCGCGCTCCGCCGGGCCGCGAGGGGGCGCCTGCCGCTTGGGCGGGGCCGAGCGCGGGGATCGGGCGCCACCTGGAGGCTGCAGGAGCGGAGGGGGCGTGGCCTACCTGCTCGGGGGCGTGGTTGGATACTGTTTGGGGGCGTGGTTTAGGGAGGGGGCGTGGCTCACGTGGCGCGCCGGCACCTCGGGGCGCGCTGTGCACCGCGTTGACGGCGCCCCTGACAGCTCCGCTCCATCCCTTCTGCGCACGGGTTGCCCAGACCGGCCCTCCTCGGCTCCCCCGCTCGGCTGTGCCCCGAGGCGAGCCCTGCACCGGCACCGCGGAGATCCGGGGGGACGAGGGGCAACAGAGCTGTCCTGAGTGGAGCTGTTCCAGGGGCGGGCGGCGGCAGGACAGGGCACCCCTCAGCTCCCGGTGCCCTGGAGCCGCCAACGGAGCCACCCATGGCTGTGCCTCGCCAGGTAGGAAGGGGCAGCGCGGCCCTGGGGCACGGGGAGGGCTCTGCCTCAGCTGTATCTGCGGGCACAGGGGGCACAGAACCAGCAATGCCCCCGTGCAGGGACTCCCTGCACCCCGCAGCCCCCAGGGTGGAGCGTTGGACTCTGCGTACTCCCAACCCCGCGGGATGGCTGCAGACCCTTTTTGGCCGATTTGTGCTAATTTCCTGGCACGTCCCTGATGGAGCACTGCCAGCATCACGCGTGGCATACAGAGCATGAGGTTGGGCAGCAGCACCTCTGCAAATAGCATCGTGTCGGGATGCATCATGTCACTGGTGGAGCGCGAAGTGCACAAGCTGTGTGCACGGGGATGCGGTGGGACTCCTGGTTGTGTCTGCAGTGACAATTGGTTGGAGCAGATGTGGAGTGCGGGACCTCAGACCTCCGCCAAGCAGTGCTGAATGGCTGTTAGGAGGGCACAGCGCTTGGCACTGGGTTTCTGCATGCCATGTGTGTGTGACACACAGCATCACAGCTGACACAACTCAGAGGGTGGTGAGGCACTGGCACAGGTTGCCCAAGGAGGCTGTGGATGCCCCATCCCTGCAGGCGTTCAAGGCCAGGCTGGATGTGGCTCTGGGCAGCCTGGGCTGCTGGTTGGCGACCTGCACACAGCAGGGATGAGCATTGTGATCCTTTTCAATCCAGGTTCTATGATGATTCTATGACACAGGCACTTCAGGGACTTCTGTGCCACGGCTCACAGTGTGCCACCAGCTCTGCTGTACCCCAGTGAAGCCACAGCTCCCACCCCAGAGGCACATCCTTTCTTGCCCCTGCAGCCTTGAATGGACCTGGGCCACACGTGGTGCCCAGTGGTGCAATTGCAGCCCCCACGAGGCCGAGCTCCGCATTGTCCCCTTTGAGGAGGAAGCTGTCCCTGTACCCCATAGCCCCATTCCTGCACCATCCCCGTGCCCAGAGCAGGTGCTGCTGGAGGGACACGTCCTCCTCCCCTGCATTGCCACCATCTGTGTCTGCAGGTGCCGGTAACGCTGGAGGAGGTGACGGTGTGCTTCTCAGTGGAGGAGTGGGCGCTGCTGCAGGAGTGGCAGCGGGAGCTGCACCGCGAGGTGACGGCAGCGACGGCGCAGCTGCTGGCATCTCTTGGTAGGGCACCATAGGGGCTGCTCCGGCTTCGTCTGCACGTCCCCATCCACTGCCATGGGGACAAGAGGTGGCACGGTGCAAGATCCAGCACCCACACTTCCAGGTGAAGAACTGGCGCTTCCCTCTGGCACTGCAGATGCGGACGGACCACAAGATGCAGCTGCAGGGCAGGAGCCGCGAGGACCCCCCAGCAGTGCATCCCTCCGTGCCCTTGTGCGCCTGGTGAGGGACATCCCCCAGTTCCTCTTTGGCAGCTCCAATGCTGCAGGGCCACGTGCTGCTGCTGCTGGGGATATGGCACTGCGATCTGAGCTTCTGGGTGCAGGTGGTGAGTGTGGGGCCAGAGGGATGAAGGGGTCCATGGTGGTGGGTGACAGCCACCACTGTGGGGATGTTCCCTATGCACAGGTGAAGCACAGGCAGCTCCAGAGAATTCCAATCTCAATGTCCTGGAGGGAGCAGTACCATCATGGGATGGCAGCCCAAGCAGCACAGCGCCCACGGCACCGCAGTGGGGTCAGTACCGGAACCACAGTACCAGTGGAAGTGCTGTGCGGGTGCACTATGGGGGTGTTTGGGGAGCAGGGTTGGGGCCCTGAGGTTCGTGGAAATAGGGGGATCCCACATGGGTGCACTGGGAGGGAGGAGGCAAAGAGATGAAGATGGGAGTGCTGGGGGAGTGGAGGCAGACGGCATGGGGCTGATGGGAACTGGGGGGGCCATCAGCAGGCTGTGGGGACAGCGTTTGCTTTTGCAGTTAAACCAGAAGCGCTGGCTGAGAGCTCCCCACTGTGGAGCCTGGAGAGGTGCCTGGAAGAGCTGCCGAGGGGGGACCCCCGCCCACCCAGGACCCCAAGCAGCAGTGAGGGGCACCGGGCAGAGCTGGGGGGGCTGTGCTCACATGGAGGTGAGGCATGGCAAGGATCCATGCACGTGGCATGGCATGGCGGGGTACAGTACAGCATGGCATGGCACAGCGTGGTGTTACCATGGCAGAACATGGCACAGTACAGCATGGCACATTGAAGCATGACATGGCAAAGCTGGGCTGGGCACAGTGCTCTTGGCCGCAGGATGAACTGCAGGTCCCCATGACCACTGGCGTTGGGTTTCGGTGTCACAACTAGGGCTGTGATTGGAGTGAAACCTCTGGGGCCTCTTGGATATGGGGAAAATCCTGGGGGGGGTCTGGTTCCTGAGAGAGATTCCCCTTGGCATCCCTGTGTGGTCAAGTCCCAAGTACAGTCCTGCATTGTTGCTCTGGGACCAGTCCATGGGGGTGTCCCTGAGGGGTTTCTGCTGCCCCCCATTCTAATGTGCCTTCTGCTGATGCTGTGTGCTCTCTTCAGCTGGGAGCATTGGGCACAGCCCCCTGCAAGGGCTGCTCGAGTGTCTGAGGGCCACCACCATCCCAAAGACATTGTGCTGTACCCCACTGGTGGCTTCCCATGGCAAATGGAGGGCTGTGGAGCCAAGTGCCTTGAGGAGGGGGGGGTCAGAGCCCCTCTGCAGCAGGTGGGTGTGTAGCTGATGGCACACTTCTCTGGGGGCCCTGCCCCAAATCTGCCACTCGGTGTGCTGTGGCGTATCTGTGGTTGCAGGTGACGTTTGCCCTGTGGGTCCCAGGACCATCCCCATAGTCCCACCCCCATAGTCAGGTTGGGGTTTTAAGGTGCAGCAGGGCGCCCCTGGGCTGTGGGTTTTAGGAGGATGCAAAGGTGGCAGAGGGAGGGTTTTCAGGATTTGGGGATGGGGTAAAAGGCCTCGGGGTTGGCACCTTTTTGGGGTGCACAGTGCTCACCTCTACCCCTGTGTTGAGGGAGCAGGGCGCTCAGGGGATATCCCAGCGTTCAGTGCTTGGTTTGTCTCTGCAGGCAAAGCCCTGGTGACACCATGTGTCCACCAAATGGAGATCTCAAAGTGGACGAGCATGAACACATCCACTGGGGACACTGGGACAGAGGAGCAGAGGGGGCTGGAGATGAGCCCTGGTGAGTGAGCTGCTCCAGGACGCATCACAAATTCACCTACTGGGGCCAGGAGGTGCCTGACGGGTGGGGGGCAGGGATTGGTGCCATGGTGCTGGGATGGAGCCATCCTATGGCAGACGTGGTGTTTGGGTGGGGGTGGCCCTGATGGACATCTGTCCCCTCTGCTCTCTGCAGTGCTGGACGAGGCCCCGCTGCGCAGTCTGCTCCGGTGTCTGAGGTCTGTGGCAGTGCAGGCGCCGTGCCGGGACCCTGTGGGTGCTGCGTTGGCACTGAGTGGTGCTAAGGCATCGCCCCGACATTGCCCCAGTGCAGGTGAGCACTGCACTGCATGCCGCATCCTATGGGTAGGGGTGTTTTGGGGACACCCCACTAATGGGTCTCTCATGCTCTCCAGGGACCACGGTGAGCCCTGCAGAGAACTGTGTGCTGGGGGACAGCTGCACTGATGGCAGCATGCGGCCGTGTGCCCGTGTCCCTGCCATGGGAACAGCGACCAAGAGACCCTCCTTGGGTGGCACCAAGCGCTCACCCTGCAGCTCCTGCAGCACGGCCACAGGGGCACCCAGGGCCACGTCCGCTCTGGGCTCCAGCGCTCATCCCAGGACTTGTCCCAGGGGGGTCCCTGCATCCCCCAGGAAGCACCGTGGCTGTGGGAGAACCTTGGAGCTGCGGGCGGAGTTGGCACAGCTGCGCACTGCTGTGGCAGAGAAGCTGAACCGACTGCGCCGGGACGTGGGCACGGCACAGCGGGAGGTGCTGGGGGTGCGCGGCCGCTTGGCACGGCTGGAGCAGGGGGCACGGGGCAGGGCACGGGATGTGGCTGCGCTCATCCGCAGCCGCCGGCGCCTCCGTGATGCCATCCGGCGCCTGGAGGGACGGTGCTGGGCGCTGGAGAGCCGGGCCTGGCGCGGCAGCCGTGCGCTGCCCGACGGCTCCGATGCTGTCAGCATCCTGCAGATGGTGCTGCCGGCGGTGCTGGGCCTGGCGCTGCCTCGCTGTGGGTCCGGAGCAGCCAACAGCTCTGCGGCCCCACGGGATTTTGGGGCTTTATGATAGGGGTGGTGCACTGCTCCCTAACCCAGCCCTGGCCGCTGGCTGTTCCTCAGCAGGGTCCCCACCATGGTGAGCTCAACCCCTCCTGTACCCCCTGTCCCCTGCCTCCAGTACGAGACCCCCTGCCCTGCAGTGCACATGGATCCATGCTGCAATAAAGTGGGGCTGGTAAAGCTGATTCGGTTTCATCCATGGCTCTGGACGGGATCAAACCCTGTGCAGGCTGGGGAGCACAGGGGGAGCTCAATTCCCTTTGGAGCAGAAGGAAACCCGTGCATGAGAATGCTCAGGGCCCACCGCTTCCCACCTCT